CCCGGGTCTTTCGTTTGATAGGTGACTGCTCTATTATTAAGCTATCCAACGCCGCTATCCCTCCCCCCTCATCCACCTACCTCACCCCGCCCAGTATACCGAGGCATACTGAAGGGGGTAAATCGCGCTTCGATGCGGCGCGGCCCTTGAAAACTTAGAAAGAGTCGCGGAGAGAACACGCGTAGGAACAAACACCGAATGCACCGGCTCACCCTTCCGCATGCTTTTCGGACCTCGTGCAACAACGAGATTAAACGGCCCTTCTGTACACCACGGCGCGGCACGTTACTTACGCAACGTTATGTGCGCGCCGTTGAAGGGGAGAAAGAGCGAGAACGGGGCGGGATGGAGCGGCGAAACGGAGACTGGAACGGAGGGACAGAGGAAGAGACAGAGACGCGAGGAGCTACACAGAGGAGAGCGATAAAACGAGCGCGAGACGAGGCTCGACGAAAAATGTAGAAGGAGAAAAGAAGAGACTTCACACGCACGCACACGCGCACGCATGCTGAACGCACACCGTGGCCGAGGGATGTCTGTCTCTACAAAGCACAACGCGTGGGACAAACAGAAGTGCGTTCAACAAAGAGGCTCGCCGAAATTATTGCGTCTTTTCTTCTTTCTTAACATCGTGTGTGATTTTCCTTTCGTTCGTATTGCCGTCCGCAAGCTGATTTTTAAACGCAACTTGAAAATAACTTCGAACGCAAGTGTTTAGTTGCTCAGCAAAGTCAAATTGTTCAAATATGTACACGTCCAATTCTCTTTCCTTCGCGACGGTAATAGTCGACAATTTAGATCGCACTTATATTGAAGATTAACAAGAAACACGAATTACTTTTACAGGCTGGATTCTTTTTTTAATCATAGATTTCCCTCCCCCAATTTCATTATTTTTAATTTAAATTTTATATTTAATAATTTAATAAGTTGTTTGAATCAATTTTTCTGAAATTGGAATTGTCAACGAGCATATCTATGAACAATAGAAAATAAAAATTTTTACCAATTAAAATAATTAAAGTAATTAATATTAACCAATTAAAGCAATAAATATTACTTGAATTAAGACAAGCATTTTAAAAATTTAATAATTAAAGTTTAATAGCTCTTATTAAATTTAATTAGCGTAATTAAAAGAGGCATACAGGATGGACTAAATACAAGGTACGACCGGAAGAGTGAGTCTATGACTTAAAATAAGTTGAAATGTATAAAATGTTTTTGCATAAGGTTTTGTTTGCAAGAACGCACGAAGTTTGAAAGTTAATCGAGTACGCATGCACTTAACTGATATTTAACATAACGGTTCTCACTACAGACGTATTCTGTATAGTTTGTTTACTGTCAGGACTAACTAATTCAATTAGTTAATTCTTAAGATAGACAAGGTGAATTTATCTAAAACGAAAAATGTTTTATTTCTTACACATTTATTTCTTATTTAGTTGACATATTGTTGAAAATATTGTATTCCGTAAATTATCTTCGATAATGTATTTTTAATGTATTTTAATGTATTTATTTAATGTATTCTTTTACTTCTTCAAGAATTATTTGCAAAAATAATTTTATTTTATTTACATATGATTAACTTCATTAACTTTCAAAGTCCTTCTTTTCAAAAATGAGGCTTTATTTTAAAAAGAGAGAGGAATTTATTTTATCATTTCAACTTATTTTAAACTATAAAATCACCTCGTTGTACCATATATCTCGATCTATCCTACATGATTTTTCGATCTTGTCCAAGTCTTGTTATTTCAATCAAATGTTATCAACATAATTTTGCTGACAAATTCTAATTTTATAAAAGACTTCATACTAAACATATTTTGTAAGTCAGTGTAAACTCTGATTATTTATACAATTTTTATATCTTGAATCTGCATTCCACTGGTAGATGCTACATTCACTGGTGTGTATATATATATATATAACTTTGCGTTTCATATAATTGCGCGTCTGAAATGCACTAGTGCGAAATATCCCGTTAATATCACGCCACGAGGTGTTTTCACGTACACGAGATAAGATCTATAGAGATAAGGCTTCTAGATGACAAGAGTGTATACCATACCGTTCACAGGGCACGACGTGTGGAGCAAGTAGAGGAGCGCCAGGGCGAGGAGGCTCGCCATGCCGTCGTCGCGGACGCCTCTCATCTTGCCTGAGGTTCCGCTGGAGCCGGTAGTCCGCCGTGGTGATGGCGCGGTCCGCTGTCGCGGATCCGCGACGACGAGGAGGGATCGTTGACACGACCGTCCGTCGAGGTCCGCCGGCCTTGGCCGCCGCGGCTCAACGTCGATCGCGGCAGGACCGCGCGCGAGACTCGCGGACGGCGGCGACGACGACCGCTGCCGCCGGCCACGGTATCATCCTCCGGCGCGGCGACCGCGGGGGTGAGGCGAGGTGCCGCCTCGCCGACGAGACACTTGTCACCGCGGTTGCCCTTGCCGCCGCTGTCCGTGCCACTGCCGATGCCGCTGACTCGCGGCGCTCACTCGCATGAAGAGCGCTCGCGTGAGAGCACTTGCCGCTTACGAGGGTGCGAGCGCGACTCGCAACGCGTACCGCACCGCACGCACGCACGCACGCACGCACTGCGTTGTTGTTTTCCTGTAACCGTTGTTGTCCGAGCGTATATCCCGTATATGCCGTTCTCACATTGTCCGTCGAGCCGAACGCGCTCCGGCCACGCCGCGCTCGCGGTTTCTTCCGCCGATCGAACAACAACCCCACCGGCGAGGATCAGCCCCCCAGAGACTGACGAGGAGCGCGGGGTGGTTATTTCGCGCGAGCGGCGATTTCTCAGATACACCTCACGTCGTGCGACGTCGCCGCCGCGAAAGGCGCGCCGCCATTTTCCTACCGACAGGCCCGGCCTATTGCGAATTGCGAATTCTCCTCGACGAACACACCGAAGGACACGCTCACGTATAACCAAGAGGCTTTCACCGTTAATCCATGAGGATATCACTGACAATTGTACGCCGACAGACTCGAAACTTGCAAAAATGACGCTTCACCGAGCATCGTCATCGCCGCCGTCGTCGTCGTCGTCGTCGTCGGCACTTCACGACTCCGGCGCAATCTCGATGCAACTGTCACGCGGGTCGCTCGCTAGAGCTATTCGTGGCTCGCGCTGATCGTCGGACAGCGACTCGTGTGTCGTGTTGCTGCTACTACTGCCGCTACTACCGTTGCTCCATAAAGCGCTCCACGAAACACGTCACTATCTTCCTCAGATTCGTACATAGCTGTACGCTGCTCCACTTTCGCAATTTTATTTTGTGAGTATGTTGAAAATCGAAATGACATAAAAGTCCAATCAATTTCGGCTGAAATAATAAAATCTAAACAAACATCTTCTGTCTGTTATATTAAAATAGATAGTATATCTATTTGCTCCGAATTGACGATGCTTCAAAATACGTTGCGAACATTTAATGCATGGCTTAAAATAATGAAAAATTAAATTAATTACAATTCTACAATACGAAAAACGTTTTTAATACTTTATAATTTATATTTATAACTATTATATTTATAATTTATATTTATATATTTTGTATAAGTATAAATTATACTTTATATAAAAATATACAAGAAACATAAAATATCTACATTGAATTTCTTAATCTATCTGTATTAAAATAGTTAAAAAATTAAAGACCAATCAAGGAAAAAGATAATTATAATTTTAACAGAAAATATTAAATAATTATCTAATTATCATGTGCGAGTTTATACATTGCACATGATAATCTATTGCAGTTTGTAAAGAAGTGCAAAGCGCAAAAAAATTTATTTTTATATCAGAACTAATAAGAAAAAGGCTTTTTAATTTTATCATTAACAAAATTACTTAAATATAATTTAACTATTTAATATATTTTTGTAGATGTAAATTCTTCGCAATTATTATTTTGTTATATTTTATTTCTTAATAAATGTTAACAGCAGGGACCGAAAAAAATTGATACTTTACTGCCAACCAATTTGCGCATGCGCCTTTTTTAAGATACTCTCAGTTTCATTAATATCGAAATTTTGCAACTCAAAATTTAATTTGACATAGTCAAATTTTTTGCGAAAAAAGATATAAATCAAATATTCGAATCTTTTCAAACAAAATATTTGAATATTTTTCTACGTACTAATTCTTATATTGTTTAAAAAATATAAAACATAAATGGCAAAAATTGTGTATAAAATAAATTTATTTTTCATTAATAATAAATAATGCTAATATAAGGCCACATTATAGATAGACGTGTGATAAAAATGTATATTCTTACACTTTATCACATTTTGACCCTTATTTTCAATCCCCTTCAGTACAAAAAATTAATAAGAATAGAAAGAGTAATAATATTAAACATTGTAATAAATTTCTGATAATATTGTAAGAATTTTGATAATATTATGGAAAGATACCAGCGGAGTTAATAAGAAAACCGTCATCGTAAAAGCGTGTCTAGAGTTAAAGAGGTTGATCCTATAAATTCATCTTTTAATTCTTCTTTAAATAAAATTTTGCAGTTAGATGTCATTTTCTTCACGGCTATTAATAAATTAAAATATATACACGAAATTAATCATCATGTAAAAATCATCAAATAATTTTTTTAAAAACATTTATTTATAAACTTTTATGATATATACTTAAAAACTATGTATAATATACGCACTTAAATGTAATTTACATATCTATAAATGTGAATGTACGATTAAAATAACGCTGGAACATTATAAAAACAGTAACTCTTTTGCTGTGATTATTATAATATATTTTTATAAACTACCGAAACTATACGAAGTAATTCTTTAATAACTTGTATAGTGTATAATGTGTATCATTACACATTTATTGTAATTAAATTATAAATAATATTAAAATACTTGATTTATTATATGTATATATATTTATATCGAATTCGAAAAAAAATTTTTTAAACTTTGACTGACATATAATACTGCAAGTGAATTTAATAAATTAATGAATGTTAAATTCTTTCTAATCTTTATTTAAAATATTTTCACGATGAATTTACGAAATCTGCATTAAGTTATTTCGTAAGTTTGATATAGGATAAAATATGCTAATTAATATTATAAAGTACTTCAAAAATATTTTGCAAATTTGATTATCACAAAATGCATTATATCAAGATATCGTGTAGAAAAATAAGAAATTGGGATAGATTTAATGTCGATTGTACGAAGAATTTAGAGCATGTCGAACAAATAAAATTTAAGACAAGATGCTAACAAATGTTTATCAGAAAAAGTTTGCAATAATTACTTAGCGTAAATGTGTATAATAACAGATAAAAGTCGAACTTGTAATAATAATAATAATAATAATAATAAAGTAAATATCTGTTTGTATATTACGCGTATTATATTTAAATATCCGTTGTAATAATATGTATGGAATAGGTTTCATTATACTTAACATTAAAATGCCATTGAAATTGTTAAAATAATCTTAATTTAAAATAACAAATAAAATAAGGATATGTAATGTTTATAGCATTTTTAAATTCATCTTCATTTCATTGCGAGTGGACGTTGTATTTTTTATTTTATCTAATAATTCTTTATTTAATGATTATATCTGTTGAAATTGATAGTGTATCTAACTAATTAGATGTGAGAGTATTCAAGAAATTTCAAGTATTTCTTTTTAAGCAGTAATGCGTTATATGTAAAACGATCCAATTACTATAGAATAAGAAATTAATTGCAATTTTCAGGCTAATTTTAACATTTCTAAAGCGATAGAACTCTTCGGATGCTACCAAAGCTCTTGTTGCAATTGTTTAATCGTAAATAAATTAAAAATTATTTAAAAAGAAACTCAACGAAGATTTTGGTAATACAAGAAAAATACTATTACATTTTTGCGATAAAAGCATCACCTTTAGTTACACACATCATAAAATTCGTTTCTAAAATACGTCAACTACAAAACATTGACGAAAGTTGCAATTAATTTCTAGTTTTAAGTTTATTCAATAACGCACATGCACTTACTGCTTAATATGTACATTCCCATTCCTCCCCCATTAGTTGTCACCAAGCAAACGACTTGTCTTAATATGCCTCAGAATGGATCACTTGCTAGAAGAAGATATAAAATCTATCGAGCTTCCACACCCATATTGATAACATACACGATAAAAAAAATTCTAACATATGAGATAAAAAATGTATTTTTTTATCTGCTTGGTTTTTTTAATACTCTAAGATAATTAAGCACAACGTGATATCTAAAATTTAAACACAGCATCATAGGCAGATCTAGTTTTTCTTTGAAGGACTTAATTTTATAAAAAATTAAATTATGATAAACAAATGACCTGAAATATATAACACATTCTTACAGTACCCTTTAATTATTAAAATATATTTCTGAGAAGACATACTCCATTCCGTAACATTCTATTTGTTTCTAAATTCATCAGTTATAGAAAATAGTATATAATAGAGTTTATATTTTAAAATATAATAAATATCGCATGTAATCGAATGTTACCTGAATTACGATGCGCAGTCTATATTGATACGTCTATTAGGAAAACGTATTTACTCTTAATAAAATTCAATATCCTACGATTCACAAATGCAATTATATGTGTGGATTAACTCAACAAAATTATTGCAATAATTGTGGATAATTGTTCTTTTTATCAAATTGGAAGTATTGCTTGGTCCATTTTTCTTTAAACTTGCGTCTGGCTACCCCACGCTCTCGAAATTGCGGATCTAGTGAGTTTTTTACCGATGGTTTGAACAACAAAACCGATCCTTTGCAATCGATCGTGACTTAAAATTTTTCTTCCGTCGAAAATATACGCTGGCTTCATCATATCTGCATAAATTTGCGTGTAATCCAGTTCCTAAAATTTATATATTAAAGCAATAAAATATTTATTAATTTTGTTCATTATTATATTATGTCAATGTAATATTAAACATGTAATTGTACAGAAAAATTAGATTGTATGTACTAAGGCTGAAGTCATCGTTAACATCAGAAGACATTTTTTTCTTACTTACGATAAATTCGTCCCACTCTGTGCATAAAACTATCGCATGTGTATTCTTCGTGGCACTATAAGCGTTTTTATATATACTGATTCTATTCTTTATGTCTTCAGGATTGTTCGTTACGCTTGGATGAGTCAAGTCTTGGATGATCTGAGTTTCCTCAACCTATGAATTAAAAGGATATTATATAAAGAAGCATAATATATTTGGTTGTTGGTCTGATTATGAAATTTTTTAGTTATTATATCTTACGTAAAAATTATCTAATTTAAAAATAATATAAAAAGTACAGTATATAAAGTTTATTAAACGAGACATTTATAATTCCTTCATACATAATTTTAATGTGTACACAAAACATTTATAAAATGTTCATTTTTTATCAATCATGAATTCTCTAATAAATTCTATATCAACTTTAATAAAAATTTAACTTGTATTCGTGTCGGCTAACATTGACTTTACTTCGATATTTTTGATTTAATAAAAATTTAAATTGTATTTTTCTATTGTAATGTTGAATATAAGAAAATTAAAATTTTTATTAAATACAGTATAAGAAATATAATTATGTATCACAATATTTTTTAATTTAAATTAAACTTTATCAATTTATAATAAATTTTTAAATTTAAAATAAGTTTCAAAGATCTTCGATATTTAATTAAAATTGATATTTCTAAATAAAATATAAAACAAAATATTAATAAAGGCAATTTATGATAGATTGTAATTAAATTCTAGGAAATTGTTATTAAAAATAAGATCTGAAATGCATTGCATATAGAAAAGAGAAAGAACTGACCTTGGGATCGTAAATGTGAAGAACAGCGCCTTCATCTAACAACGTCTTAGCGACATGAATAGCTGGTGATTCACGCGTATCTCCTGTATTTTTCTTGAAGGCAAAACCTAGCATGGCAATCCTCTTGTCCGTCACAGTGTTAAAGAGAGATTCTATGACTTTTGCGGAAAATCTTGATTTCTGATATTCATTCATATCGATCACCTGTTGCCAGTACGCCGCTACCTCGGGCAGATTTAAACACTCGCAAATATACACCAAGTTCAAAATGTCCTTTTGGAAACAGGAACCGCCGAAACCGACTGAAGCGTGAAGGAACTTGGAACCGATCCGAGAATCAAGTCCGATTGCCCGAGCGACCTCGGACACATCGGCACCCGTAGCTTCGCATACTGCTGACAACGAGTTTATGCTAGAGATGCGCTGAGCAAGGAAAGCGTTTGCAGCCTAAAATCAAAGCGAATATAAATAGATATAATGGAATTTTTATCGTTTTAGCTTTTAAAATTATTCAAATTAATTTTATTTATAAGTTTCGGTACACGTGTTTCGAACACTTATAATACATTTTCTTTTTTGCGGAAATATATTAATCACTTCTTTAAAAAATTAAATAAGTAATAATACAGTGATATTAAATTATATATTTTTATAAAACGTACAGAAACTTCAACGGCAATAATCGAAAAAATATTCTAAGAATATCTCGAACTGTTAAATTAAGATTGATTAATGGGTTTTATTATATTTTTCTAATATAACTTACATGTGCATAACAAGTTTCGAAAAAGATGAAGATTTAGTTAAAAATCAAATTTTTTTTGTACTAAATTTAAGCAATTTATTGCGTAATTTATTATAATCACTTATAAACAGTATGTTGCCATACAACTGAGATTTACACAGCTCATTTACATAGCGGCACTGCTATTACAACTAGAATGTGAAATGTATGATTACTCACCAGCTTGGATAGTTCTGAGCTCCACGTATTAGTCGTTAAAATATTTTCTCTTGGAATCCAATGTTCGTAAACTTTACACAATTCCTCAATAGCTGCCTGTCCTTCTGGCGAATTTTCTCCGCCAATCAGCACCCGATCAGCATTTACCAGATCTTCTATAGCAGTTCCTTCGGCCAGAAATTCCGGATTCGAGAGAATCTAAAAAAAACGTTGTTAATATTCAAGTAAATGAAAGAGATAAATAATCTCAGTGAATGTACAAATTGATGGCCAACGCATGTCAACGGTAATAGCAAATATCTGACAAGCAAAGAAAAGATCATGAATAATAATCATGCGGTATGAAGCAAGAGCATTATCTTGAATGTACGACATTAATTAAATCATACGATTGCTATTGATTTAACAATCAATCAGCTATGGACACAGCAAAAATACAATACAATTTTGCCATGTGTGTTGTATCGAATGCATAAATTTCGAAAATGCAATTTCATATTTCATAATTTCTTACGCAACGTTGTGTTGGCAAAAATACTTAAATGAATTGAAGGTAAGTATATGTATATAGAAAGAGATATAAAGTACCATGAAACTTAAATGTACTACATGGATTCTAAAAAAAAACAATTTTTACAAGAACTGTACCATCTTCTTTTTAAATTTAAAAATAAAATTATTACAAAAAATAATAGAGATACGGTAGTTATCTTACCTGATAGGAAACACCTGGTTTGTGATTAGCGCGGAGGATGTTCATGATACTTTCGGCCGCTCTTACCGGTACGGTACTCTTTTCAACGACAATCTTATCTCCCGTTGCAACTTCCGCGATCATTCTAGCAGCGCTTTCGACATATTTCAAGTCCGCTGCTCTCCCCTTGCCGTTGCCGAAAGTTTTCGTCGGTGTGTTCACCGAAATAAATATCAAATCGGCCTCCTTGATCGCCGTCTCAATGTCGGTGGAGAAGAACAAATTTTTTCCGCGGCATTTTTGCACCACTTCATCCAAGCCCGGCTCATATATCGGCAACTTCTGTGAATTCCATTGCGCTATCCTGTCCTTGCTCTTATCAACGACCGTCACGTGAATTTCCGGGCACTTCAGCGCAATAACGCTGCAGGTGGGTCCACCCACGTAACCGGCTCCGATGCAGCAGATTCTTCGGATTCTTGTCATTCTAATTGGCTGTAATATTATTTGACAAATTATAATTATGTTTGAAAGTGTACATATTATATATAGAGAAATCACATCAGCCATAAAATATTTTAAATATTTTAATTTTACATTATAATAAAGGAAATATGTTTTATTATCAAACAGTTTATCAATTTTTATACGAAGATAAGACTATACGCAGAAAAATAAATTTCGTCTCTTTAACTCTTATTTGATTGAAATGAAATTAAATTAAATTTCACAGTTTATTCTTCTTACCTCTACCTTTATTTAATTGTCAAATGTAAGTAAAAGTAACTTTTTTTATATAATTTGTTATGTAATATTATAAACAAATATACAAAATTATACGCTATATAATTTTATAGTTTCACGTATAAAATTATTTTTGTAAGTAAATGAATAATCTTAATATAATAATAGTTTTTATGTTATAACTTGATAAAATTTGAATTTGATAATCTAATAGATGATAATAGAAACGTTTATTAAAATTATTATATTAAAAGTATTAGCTAAAAAATTAACTCGATCATGTAAAGCAATTTGTGTTACACAATTCTTTTACAACACAATTAAATTAGATAAAATATGATAAGAATGCATATATAAAGCTAGAATAAAAGTTCATGCAGAATGACTTTCTTGGACTAAATAGTAAAAATTCCAAAGAAAGCATTCTCATTTAAATAAATCAAATTTATTCTCATTTATCTCTTTTACAAGAAGATATCTCTGAAACTATTAATGTCCAAATGATACAAATGCCTGGAAGCTGATAAAAATATATCTGTCAGCTTTCTCGATATGTGTCATGTCAACGAAATGTCAACGGAAGTCCAAATATCTACTTGTTATTCCCTTACTTTTTTTTTGTTTGATAACATCGAGATTCTTCCGTTTACATTTTTTCCAGAATATACACGTAGTTTATTATAATATATCATTTCTTTTTCAGTTATTAGAAGGATAGAACCTGTATATTTAGTTGAATACTGAAAAATAAATTAAAAAATATTTGCTCCTTTAACGTTTGGAGTATATTTTGTTCTGGAGCGTTTCGGAGCACGGTTTGGAGCATAGTACTCCAAACTGTTCGAGATGTTTCAAAGTGAATTAGTATAATTCGTTTTGTTACCTGCTAAACTGAAATAACGGATAATTGTCTGGATAACTGATCAGCAGAGATGTGGCATGAAGACGGACGCAGTGCAGAATGCGAGTTACAGCTTATCACAATCGAAGGATAACTTTCATGATGAAAAAAAAAGTTGTTTGGAAGAAGGAACTGTAATGCGGCTGATGTTGAGTCGCGTTTCACAAAGTTCTGTCACTTCGGGACGCTGTGCGTCCGTCATTTCGTGCTACTACGAGGTGGTAACGTCGAGGCCGCAACGAGGCCACGCCGTTGTGACCACGTTGCCATTTTACCAGAATATTGCAATGGCGCGTGCGTAAATAATTGGCAACGCTGTATTTCTTTCTGAAGTCATTCATGATGATAATCATTTATGAGAGGGCACGTTTAATTTATATTATAACAGTACAGAGTAAAACGGAGATTTGGCATATTAAAAATACCATGCGTTTCAGCGTGGATACAGTGATTGCGGTATTGTGCAGAATAATATTTAGTAATGCAAAAAATGTAATTTATATATTTTATAATAGAAATTTAAATTAATACTGTTTTACGACAGCCTTTGAAGTAACGATATTCACTGATCAAGTTAAAGAAACAAATGTCCAATGTAAAAATTTAACTGAAACGTTGTTAGAAAATATTGGAATATAAATATGTTAACTTATATGAATTGTCAACAACATACAGATACATATGTATATAACACAGGATGTCGTTAAAGTTCATTATTTCCGATGAAGCGAATATAAATAGCAATTCGATATATAATATAGTAATAGCTATCTAAATGGGTAATGATTACTAGTTTATATGCAGTTAAAATAAACGCAATTGGCATTTAATATCGTAAAAAAATCTATTCAAGAAATAAATGCTAATTAAACGAAATCGAAATAAAGAAAAGCGTTATAATTTTCTTTCTCATATATCTATTTATTTTGCTTTAACTATTTATTGCTGATATTCATAAAATATATATGCACATAAATAAGAATCTAAAATATAGAGTCCATTTATAGATAATCATTTTTTCATGGATGATATCTTATGATAAGCTTTTAATCAAATCAGCTATTAACATAATAAAATTTGCATTAGTTGCACATAGATCAATACAAAAATTTATAACATAGCATCTATGTACATATATATACATTTATTCATTTATTTATTTGTAATTATTTATATACATATGTAATAGTAATTTAAAAAGTATCTAAACATACATTATATGTATAATTTTTAAAAATTTTGTTTTATTTATTACATAATCTCTAATAATTATCTAGTTAAATTATGAAAATTAATTTTATTTAACACATAATCGTGGTTTATTGATTGACATATCTTCTTGAGAAACTTTTTGGACCGATACGCATAGCTTAAATCTATTTTTAGATTGTACTAAATTTATAATAGTCATTGGCAATTTCACGGATTGCCGAGGAATGATTTTGAAGTATGTCCAAGCCATTTATGTAATTATTATACAATTCGTATGGCTTTAAATAATTTTGAAACTTATTAGACTTTGAAAATCTCTTTAAAATAGTAATTTTGACTTTTTTGTATTTCTTGAATAAAGTAATATAAAATATATATGTTTAAATATAAAGTGTGAAATACAATCGAGAAGACAAAATGATAAATTCGATTGGCTACGTTCTGTAATATCTTTCGAATATATCGATCTGTAATATCTTCGATATATCGATCGATTCAAGCGCAATTAATTAATTACTATTATGCTTATGCATTGCTTTGTTTTGAGTAAAAGTACACTAAAAAAGGACCGATATATATAAAAAAGTAATATCTATAAACAAATCATTAAATAAAATTTACAAATCTCTTCTAGCTGTAACATTACATGAGAACAATTAAAATCACCCGCTGATCGAAAATTAATCGATATTATTTTAATAAATTGATAGTAATTAGTGTGAATAAAACCCGTTAAGTAATACGATAAATAAAATATCGACTTAATGGAGGATTCATTCCGCGCCCGATGCACGATGTCTCGCCATCCAATAAAGGAACGTGCATCCTAGAGTCTCCAGCTGATCACTCTTTTGTCCCTAGGAAACAAATGTTCTCATTGAACGAAGAGGTGTCATTGACACCTGGCGTAAAAACGCCGTATGGATACTCCGACATTTCGGAGCCATCTCCGATCAGCTGATACTTTCCGCGCGTTTGTTTTTCAACTGACCCCCGGAAATCGGCGATTCAGCACGGGGGGTGGAGGGAGGGGAGATGGAGCTCCGAACGGGACGCATCGTTGTTGGACAATACAAATTGTCAGCGTCATTCACTTGACGATCGGTCGGCTCGGTGCCCGACGTGCGAACACTGGTACAGCAGTAGTCTCCGAGGAAACTTGTCTGATACGAGCGAGCGAGCGAGCGAGCGCCGTTACTCCTCTTCCTCATCGCGGCCGACGGAACCGCGTCACGTCAGCTCCTCGTCGTACGCAAGATGACTGTCCGGTGTACCGTTGGTTATTTTCTGAGCATAGATTGAGCCACGATTCAGCCAGGCATAAGTCGCAATGGACAGCATGACAGTAAGTAGACTTTAACCTCTTGGTGCCATGCGCGTTGTATTCTAGTGCTCAGCCACCGTGATCTCTGTTGCTCAGACGAGATCGGTATCTCTCTTGACATACGATGTCTCCTATCATCGTGAACTGATTAAAAGTTGCGCATTCCCTCTTGATAAATAGGAATAATTTTCGTAAAATCGTAATAATTTTACAAAATTATCTTTTTTTTTTTCCTTGGCGTGCATTTATCTGATTGCCATCTTTTTGCATGACTTTTTAATATTCAACTTTCACTGGCTTGGTAGTTGAATCTTGAGTAAAAAATTCTCTTAAAATCAAGCCTATCAAAATTAACTAGATAACAAATTTTTTGCTTAGCTTTGATAGATTTGTCATTTTATTATTATTAAAATGTGTGACATTGGAAAGTTAAAATTATATTGATTATAATTTTTTAAAAACCACACAATATTTAATAAAATCGTTATTAAAGGCTAATTCAAATCAATTTTTTTTTATTTTCAGGGAATAATTTATGCAATATGTCGGGGATTTATAGACAGTTTGAAGGGTACCGTTGTTCTTTTCTACATGGATAAGCAAATTAACGAGAAACTGGTCGGAAGATCTCCCAGCCGAGCAGAACTCAGGAAGAGAGATTTAGTTATGCAGACCCCTTCCAAGCATAAGCAACGGTATTCTTAATGTTTTCAAGGAATGAATATGAGAGATAATTTTAATAGTGAAATTTATTAGTCCACTCAATTTTCAGGGAGTCTATGGTGTTGATGAGAACCATACAATGCTGCGCATTAAACGGTGGAGTGTTCTGGGCTAGTATACTGATATTTGATTTTGGACTTTTACCATTTGTTAAGTACTTACTGACTATTATATTCGGCCATTCTCCTGGCATGGGCCTCAGCGTATGGTCATGGATCCAGCCATTTCTATCCATTACATTTGGGACAATATGGGTGCTGCCACTGTTCTTACTCAGTAGAATAGTTAACAGTTTGTGGTTTCAGGTAATAATTTTTTACAAAATGTAAAAAAACTGTTTATTAAGATAACAAGTGTTGTCAGAATCTATGTGACGTAATATAAATACAGTGTGTATTTGCAAATATATATAGGATATAGCAGACAGCGCTTACAGATACAGACAGGGAAGACCAATGCTTCTGTCGAGCGTAAGCAAGTTGATAGCTGACACGCTTTTTAGCGTATTAGTTCAAGCGTTATTCTTGGGACAAGGAGTGCTGGTGTCTAAAGTTCCACTACCGCCGTTAGGGGATATTCTTGCCCTTGTCCACATGTGCCTTTTATATGCTCTCTATGCCTTTGAATACAAGTGGTTCAACATGGGTTGGGAGTTGCATAGACGATTGACTTTTATTGAAGGCAATTGGCCATACTTTCTAGGCTTCGGTATGCCATTAGCAGTACTTACCCAACTGCCCAACTCGTACTTTGTAAGGTATGAAATAATTTCTACAAGTATTACTTTCTAAAGGAGATACGATATCTGTTAATATTTAAAAATAAATATCTGTTTTTAGTTAAACCAATTTATAGAGATTTGAAATCTTGAAAATTACACCAAGAAAATTAACGTTAAAACTTATTAAAATTAACGATCCTTTCTTTAATTTTTCACTGTTAGTACAAAAATGACAAAATTTATATTCGTTATCGTGGTAATATAATTAAAACGACAACAATTCTAAAACATTCTATGAATTTATAAAACAATTTTTTTATTTTCAGTGGCTGTGTTTTTTCCATTTTGTTTCCACTGTTTATTATAAGTGGAAACGAAGCAGAACCCGTGACTGGAGTATGGTATATCTCTTTTATAAAATATTTAACGATATGATATTTTATGATATTTATGATGAATTTAACGTAATTTAAATGTTTGTTCCAGTGATTTCCAGCTGAAATTATTTTCGCCAGTAATTGCAATTGCAAATACATTATTTAATAAAACCATTGGACGGGCCAATAAGCGGTGATAGTGAAAACAAAATGAATAAATTGCCTAATTTATACCATTTGCATATTAGGACATACAATTTACCAATTTGTTACAGAAAAGCTCATATACAATAGTAATAATTATATAAAATAATAGTTAAAAAAATATTTGGATATCTATTGTTCGCTCTTGCAGGAAATGATTTTATTATTTAAACGGATTACAAAATGTTCAGGACAAATGCAAAAGCTAGATTTATTTTTTGACATTAAACAAGATGATAAAGTAAAACTATACATTTTTTATATTTTTTTTCTATCGACCTTTACGAAATGTGAAAAGAATATTTAATTATTCTTTAATTGGAATGTAAGACCAATCAGTACAAATATTTATTTATGTACATACATATAATAATGCACACATATAGCTTATTTGTCATGTGATTTCCTGTATTTAATAATATCAGCGGTATACAGGCGATATACAAAATACTGAATATACTTCTCAATTTTTATGAGACTTCATATTTTGAGCTTTTTATGCTGTAGCTAGTCATTTTTCAATATCGATTTGAGATCTCCAATCGGCGCTGTGCTATAAACGTATACCTATTATAAATATGTGCTGTAAAAATAATACAATGTATGGCAGTTGATAGATCCGATCTAGTGATGATATAACCTTTATATAGAGTAGTTGAAATATATTACTCCTAATTCCTAAACATTAAGATAATCCTAAATAACATAGTACTACCTAACATGATTTTTATATTCTTCCTTAAGAGTGTTGTATTTGAAAAATTTTTTAATTTAACAATACTTTATATTATACATAAAGCGCCAACAGAAACATCTCGATCAATTGAATCTGTTGATTCCAATTATGTATTGTGCCATACATATCATTTATACAGGGGAATCATTCAAAAAAAGAATCATAAAAACGAACGAAAAATATCATAATTGTATGATAAATATTACTAATAATATACATATAATACATAAGAATATTTCAATTTTTGTATATGGTTAGGAAAATGCAAATGGTTATTACATTTGTCGTGTATATCGATATTATCGATCATTTTATACACTATAACTTAAATAAATATAATAAACTTATTGAATTGAAAAGCAGTGTTTACATTAGTATAATTGTCGCAAATATAGTCCAATTATTCAAACAAAAATGCAAAAATTGTTAAATTCTCTATCAGAATAAACAAATTGTAACATAGTCCAAAACTGAAGCTAGAAGAGCAATATCACAAATTGACAATCAATATTTAATAATAATTATATTAATAAGCATCCTAAATAATTATAAAGAATCTATTTCGAAAAATATTATCCGAGCTAGGGTATTTTTCGCAATAATATAGTGATAATTCTTAGGTTCTGAGATTTGTTTTAATCGATTTTAGCTCTTTTCGTTTGTGTTATTCATATATCGATCAATTCTCACTTATTACCGTTATTATTAACTTTAATTCAGCGCATTTCACTATACAAAAGAAAGACTTCATAATTATCATAATCAACGTTTCATTTTTTTTTTAATTTACTAGTGCATAACAGGCGCGCTTCGCACGTGATGCGACCACCAACCATCACCATCCATTTTAATTAAACAAATTTTATCAATTTTTGAAAAAAATAAATTTTCAAAAAAATGACGTTTTAATCGGCCATTTTTAAATAAAGTCACAACTTCTTAAATAATAGCCACATAATTAATCTTTAAGATGAGCTCAAAAAGAAGTATGTCTTTATTTTTTTGGAAGATACGAATTTTTAAACATTGGGGAAAAGAGGCTTCAACGCAGGTAACACGGTAATTTTAAGATAGGACTAGCACTACAAACGCGCGCACTATTTAGTACTTTTTGCTATAATTTACAATTAAATAATTTACGTCAATACACACAACTGTCAAAATGCAATGTCACAGCCGCTTACGCGAAGTAAGCGCAGCGAGAAAACCAATCAACCAATTTTTTTTTGACTTACCAACATCCACCACCACCACCCAGCACCACTACCCACCACCACCACCCACCACCACCACCCAACACCACCATTCACCACCAACAGGTCGATTTTTTATATTTTTCGATTTCTGCAATAAAAATTTTTCATAAAACTTTCTCTTGTCAAAAATCGAAGTATGACCATGTAGGAGTTGACCT